CGCAAATCCTGGCTTATTGTGGGGTAGCCTGTCTACTCTAGTAATGGCTGAAATCAGAGCAAATCCATTGGGAATGCTTGAGAGGAGGGAGCGTACAGCGGTGAGGTGCTAGCCCAGGCTTTGGGCAGACTTGGGTTCCATTCCCTGCTCTGCCATAGACTTCCTACAAGACTAGGGCAAGTCATTTAGGGCTGGTCTACACTGGGGGGGGGGGAATCGATCTAAGATACGCAACTTCAGCTATGAGAATAGCGTAGCTGAAGTCAATGTATCTTAGATCGACTTAGAATCCCTTACTTCACGTCCTTGCGGCGCGGGATCGATGGCCACCACTCCCCCGTCGACTCCGCTTCCGCCTCTCGCCCTGGTGGAGTTCCGGAGTCGACGGGAAGCGCATTCGGGGATCGATGTATCGTGTCTAGACGACCTGCATTCCCTCAATCCCCGATAGATCAATCGCTACCCGCCAATCCGGTGGGTAGTGAAGAATTACCCTTAGTCTCCATGGGTGTGTCTACACTGCATCGTAAACCCAGGCCTTTGGGACCTGGGCTTGTGGACTCTGTGTATCCAAGCCTGTGCTTGAATGTCCACACCGCACTGTAAATCTGGGCTTACAGTTGCTGAGTCCAGATCTCACAGCTGTGCTAACACGTCCGCACTTCTGACTCAGGTCTGGGGTTTGAGCTGCGTCTACACTGCAGAATGATAGGGCTTGGGCCTGAGTCACAGCAGGACTTGGTGTGTGTGTGTATATGTGTGTGGTAACAGGGAATAGCACTGCCCTGCCTCACAGAGGTGTGGAGAAGCAGGTTCAAGAGTGCTCAGCTAGACAGATGACTCATACTGGGTTGTGGCCAGTGGAGTTTCTCTAGCTCCACAGTGGTGTAGATGAGAATCGGCCTTGGCTTGTGTTCCCAATTTGCTCTGGACCATTGGGCAAAGCTGCGTATGTCTCCGCTTCCTCGCAGGGGGTAAACAACAGTGACAATGCTCGCTTCCCAGAGCGCTGCTGAGAATGAATTAATAATATTTCATAAAGTGCTTTGAGATCTTTGGCTGAAAGGCATTCTAAATGCAAAGGCTGATTATTACTTTTACAGGCAGGGATTGCCTTTTTGTTCCATGTTTGTACAGAGCTTAGTACAATGGAGTCCTGGTCATGCCTGAGGCTCATGGGTGGAAAGAATAACAACTAATAAATAGCAAATCTTGAGATTTTTCTGATGCGGTCAGAATCCAAACCAGGCCTCCTTGAGTGGGCAGCATGTTGATGGTTTTTTTTTAAGCATTATCTTTCACCACCTGGCAATTCCGACTCCACAGCCTCCTTTATTTAATCGCTCCTGTTATCTGTAACAAAAAAAAAGCGTAATCTCACCCAGTCGGCTCCCAACATTTGTTAACAAATAGGCAAAGTTTTATCATGCATATCGGCCCCGCTCGGCCCTCTGTCCCCCGCCGGTTTGTCAGATAAGGCTGTAATACTTTAGCTGTTTTGTTCTGGCACTGTGCCGCTGCACAGGATGGACCCCCGATATGCCAGTTTGATCAGAGGCGGATAGAAAGGCAGTCGCTGATGTTTGTAAGCTGGAAGGTTAGCTGCAATCTGTGTCTGCGGCCCTCAGAACGCTGCCTTTTTCTCTAGCAGTATGTTTCTTTCAGGAACGATAATGACAAAGTGGGGGGAAAAGGTAAATCAATGAGACAGGCGGGAGACAGGCGGTTGAGGGAAAGAGCTGGCGCTAGGAAGCACGGGCCTGTGGGTGGGGCGACAGACTGGCACTCGGGAGATCTCCGTTCTGCGCCACGTTCTCCGCTGACCTGTTGCGTGACCTTGAGCAAGTCACTTCCCGGCCCCGTTTCCCCTCCCGTCCTTTGTCTGTCTTGTCTAGTTAGACTCCCAGGGTGGGGTGGACTAGATGACCTCCTGAGGTCCCTTCCAACCCTGATATTCTATGATTCTTACACCACCTAGCACTGCGGGGTCCCATTCTTCATTGGGCCCTTTAGATGCTGCCCCAGTATGAATAATGACTAACCGCCTCACTTAAGGGTACGTCCCCGCACTGCAGTGGGAGGTGTAATTCCCAGCTCAGGCTGACAGACCCGCACTAGCTCTGACCGAGTGAGCATGTTAAAAATAGAAGCGTAGCCGCGGCGGTGTCCTGAGGATGTCCTGGCTAGACCCGAAGTACGTATTCAGGTGGGTAGTTCCTTCTGCCACCTGTGCTGCCATTTTTAGCATGTTAGCTCAATCAGAGCTAGCGTGGGTATGTCTGCCCCAGCTGGAGATTACAGCTCCAGCTCCAGTGTAGATGGACCCCGAGGCCTTGTCTACACTAGGGATTTTGGCAAACAATGGCCACCACTGGTTTAGCTGCACTGGTGCATATTCTTAGTGTAGACAGGGCAAACTGCAGTTTGCAGCTAGGGCAGGGTAAACTGTACCAGAGTGAGTGGCAACTTGTAGCAGCTTCACCTGTATACGCTAGGTTGACAGTGCCGCTGCAGACGGCTGACATCAGTAGACAAGGCCTTTATGCTAGGCTTGTAAAGGGGCATTGGTGAAATTAATCCAAGACGTGGCCCAGAACATCATCATAATCCCTAGCTCGTATATAATGCTCTTCATCAGTAGATGCCAAAGAGCTTTACAAAGGAGATCAATATTGTGACCTCCGTTTTACAGAAGGGGAAATCAAGGTACGGCGTGGTAAAGTGACTTGCCCAAGGTCACTGTAGCGGGGTGAACACCCGCTCCAGCCCTGAAGGGGTTGGAAAAGCCCCGCAGAGGGCTGGGGCTGGGGAAAGGAGCAAAACCCCGGCAGATTGGGGAAGTGGCTGCAGCTGGGACCACACCCCAAACAGAGCAACTCGGCCTTATAAGAAGGCCAGGACAGCCAGATGTTGAGGAGTCTCCCTCTGGCAGGAGAGAGAGAGAGACAGGCCTGGCTGCTGGGGAACTCACCGGGGACCTAGAGTGAGGCAGGGCTGGGGAAAGGCCTTGGGGGCTGGGAAGCCCTAGGCCAGCAACTCCCCAGGCTGCAGGGCCTGGTCCTAGGCCCGTATAGATATTGGGGTTGCAGAGAGGCAGCCTGAGGGTGGGTAAAGGCAGCCAGTCCAAACCCCATGTTGCCTGTGATGATTGGCTGATAGACTGCAGTCTGCCCCAGGGCACGGGGGTTAGATGGTGACTGGCAGTAGCCACGACTGAGGCAACATTGGGATAGGGGGTGGGGGTTCCCCTGGGTGGGGAAACCCAGAGAGAGAGTGGGGTACTGCCAGGGGGGGCAGCACCCAAGCCAAGGGCACCGGAGTCCGGGCGGGACACGGGGGCCAACGAGAGGTGGGACACCTGGCCTGCAGAAGGCGCTCCAATGACTGTTGAGCTAATTCCCGAGACGACCAGCAGGACGCGCCGCAGAGGTGAGTCCACGCCAGATTACATCGCCCAGCAGGCTAGTGGCAGAGCTGAGAACAGTAACCAGGTCTCCTGAACCTTAGTCTAGTGCTGTAGCCACTGAGGGCCACTCCTTCCCTTAGTATCCTCTCCTGCAAGGTAATGAAAACCTCTACTCTGGTTACAGCCAGCGGGAGATGAAGGAGGCATCTTACGGAGGTTAAAGCATCACAACTGAGCAAATCCATTTGTTTAGAGCTGGTCAGAAGTCACGTGTTGGATCATTTAGACCACGGATTTTGCAGTCTTTTTCCAATAAGAATTATGGAGGCTCTTCTTGGCTGTGTGCTTGTTTCCTTTGTTGTTCACCCGGCTCTGCTCTGGATTTCCCCCGCCAGTTGGGCGCGTTACAACTGAGAACGGCTGAGAGAGAGCGGCCTCGTAGCTGAGACGGCTCCTCAGCATCAGATACCCACCCCACGTGCGTGCTGATTCATGCAAAGCCAAACGAGCAGATGATGGGAGTCTGTTCCGTTGGTGGAATTTTACAGAATGCTTTTACAGTCGAGGCAGCTGGAAAAGCT